GCAGGGGGCCCCCGGATGGCGTCTCTGGCAGGGGGCCCCCGGATGGCGTCTCTGCCGGGGGCCCCCGGATGGTGTCCCTGGCAGGGGGCTCCCGGATGGCGTCTCTGCCAGGGGGCTCCCGGGAAGGCGTCTCTGGCAGGGGGCCCCCGGATGGCGTCTCTGCCAGGGGACCCCCCGATGGCGTCTCTGCCAGGGGGCCCCCGGATGGCGTCTCTGGCAGGGGGCTCCCGGGAAGGCGTCTCTGGCAGGGGGCCTGCACTTTGTCCATCCACGCTCCTGCACAAAGAAGCGTAAAGTTCCCAGGGAGGGAGACACTGCTGGAGATTGTGTCAGATGGATCCTCCTCTCCTCTGCTTTCTCTGGGGGCGACTTTTAACTTTGTATTTTCTATCCATTTTTTATCCTCTCTTTTAATGAATGTGTGTTGTCGGAGGGATGTTGTCGTCCGAACTCTCTCTCTCTCTTTTGATCGATTTGGGGACAAATTGTTTTATAAAATGCTTTAAAGTATCGAACGCACGCTCCCTGGGGGACCCTCACGTTCGCATCCTCTCTCTCTCGATCAATAAGCGATACGGTCAGCACAACGCTGGACAGATGCTGACACACAGTGACGTAACACTGGATGTTAGACACGGTTAGTCCAACCCCTCCCTGAGATGTTTACGGGGTGAATAACCTCAATCCCGACCTACAGCTCTCTGCTATCCCAGCCCTGGGCTCCCTCTCCCGCGCAGCCCAGCTGGTGCCTCTCACTCCCGAACCGCAGCCCTGTTATCCCAGCCCCGAGCTCCCTCCACCCCCCAGCTCTGCGGTGCCCCTCAAGCTCAGGACTAGAGTTTCACGGAGAGCATAGGTCCACGTTAACGGCGCAGGCTGTTGCCAGTCAGGGCAGGGCGGCGCGTGTGCTCATGTCAGCATAAGCCCAGAGCCGCCGCATCGTTGTCAGGGTAAAGCCATGGTGACGGAGCGGAGAATCCGGCCTGTAACGAATGCACCCACTTTGTACACACGCAAATGCCTGCACACGGTGCCCCGGAGGGCGGGCGCGGCCCCACGGCTCCTCATAGACAGTCATGGGTTGGGGACTCCTGCTCTGGTGGAGGTCACCTGCTACAGCATTTGTCGCTGCTCCCCACTCCGCCTATGAGCCGTGACACTGCCTGAGCCCTTGCTATCGACAGCCACTCCTTGCACGGCTCTGCTGGAACGCTGCTGGCCCCGGGGGCCTCTTTAATTATGCAGCCAAAGCCTGATCCAAACTCCCATCTTGTCTCTTATGGCAGAAAAGACAAACCACATTCAATATTCCCCTGCCCCTCCGCCTCAGCCTCTTGCTCCCAGCCAGCCCGGACGCCGCCTCCCTGCCTTTCGCTACGTCCGGTGCATTTCTCTGTGTCCCCGCTGCCCATGCGCCACTCAGAGGCGGCGAAAGGGCGAGGTATGGGCAGTGCTCTGGCGTAGCCAGGCGTCCGAGGCGCCGGTGGACGCACGAGTTGGTTTGATGGTGGCAATGACAGCGTGGAGAGGCCGTGGAGGAAGGGACTCGTAAAATGCAACAAACAAAAGACGCAAACAATAGAGAAGGATGAGGTCAGTCGTGGTCCAGCAAGAGGCGCTGGGGCTTTGAACGCGGCAGCCCGCCCTCCAGCGGTGACGCTGGGAAATAGCCTTGCTGGGCTGCTGTGAGTCCATGGGGAGTCGGCGTGTGTCGAGTGGCTGGCTGCCCACTACACTTCCAAGCACAACGGCTCCTGTGTCATTATCTTGATAAGAACCAAGTTCCAGGGATCTCAGGGGACAGGGCCTCAGGTGGGCTGGCCAGACCCTCGCAAAGCCCTGGGCTGCCACTGCGGCTATGGGTTTCGTGCCAGGAGCAGGGAGCAGGTGCCAGGTGCTGCCCAGACACACAATGAGGGGCAGCCCCTGCGGCAAAGAGCCTGAACATGCACCAGCAGGACTATTACCCCAGGGCGCCTAGCGCCTGGCCCAAGGTCGAACAAGGCGTCTGTGGCAGAGCCAGGAATTGAACCCACATTCGCTGCAGCAGAGGGCCTGAACCCCACAACCGCCCCTCCTACGCCAGCGGTGAGCTGGGCTCTGGCTGGGAGCTGAGCTGACGTACATCTGGCTCTGAATTGGCCTTGAATTCAGCCACTGGCGTCCCCATTCCCTGCCAGACCCCGAGCACTGACAGGCAGAGCCGCTGTTTGCACTGGGGCAGCCGGGCTTGAACCCAGGCGCTTTGCCCCAGTTCATCTCGCAGAGGGCAGCGCTGTGCTCTGTCTGGAGCAGCGAGCACCACTGCCGCTGGGCTGAGGCTCCTGAACCCTGCCCTTGGAGTGCTTCCATCTGCAGCCTCCACACGGTATTTTGTGTGGGCTGGGACGCTGGAGCAGGGGCAGCTTGGCCGGGAGGACCAGCCATGCGCACAGCCAGAAGGCCAGCTGCAGAACCCCCAATCCATCCCTTGCCTTCTCCGTCGGGCCCCACCTGGACACGGGAAATGTGCATTGGTGTGACGAGCCCGATGGAGCAGCTACCCCTCATGCAGACACGGCACAGATGCACAGCGGGGCTTGCCCTGGGTGTCTCACCCTCGTCCTGCACTGCCATGGCGCAGCCAGAGGCCGTGCTAACCCGGGGGGCCCCCCCAACACGTCATAAAAAGCAAATGGGCCCCCCCTTGAGCTGCGTGGGGCCCTAAGCAATTGCTTAGTCTGCTTCTGGCTGGCACCTGGCTGGAGGCTTCCAGGGCAGCCAGTGGCCTCAGGGCTGGCTCCGCCCCCACCTGAGCATGTGGGCGGGGCGGGGCTATATCAGGGGCCCAGGTAGCTTCTACTCTCATCTCCAGTGACACGGCTCTGCAGGGTGAGTCCTGAGGGCAGCGGGAACCTTCCTCCTCCAGAAGATGCTGTGCCGCCAAAGCAATAGCCGCAGTCGCTCTTTCAAGGAGAGGAAGAGCCTGGGTAAATCCTGGGGGGGGTTGGGGAAAAATGCGAAAGGGGGGAAGAGCGCTGGGGTGGAGGCCCAGGATGGCCCCTGTACCCAGGTGTCTGTTTCTCTTGTTGCAGCCAGTAGGATGCGGGAAGCAGCTGAAATCCGGGCCAAGTATCCCACCAAGATCCCGGTAAAGTTCCTCTCACTCTGTCTGCCCTGGGGGAGTTTAACTCTTCCTGAGCTTCGCTAACAGACCTCAAGGCCCACAGCTTCTCCCCTCCCATCTCCTGCCCCACTCCGGCTTCCTACCACTACACAACCCTAGCCTGGTCTCTGCACACCAGGCACTGTCGCCTCAGGCCAGCACAGGAGACGAGGGGCCGTGAAATTGAGTGGATGAAGTGACTGACATCCAGTGAGACCTGCAGATGAAGGACAAATTCTGCACTGTGAAGGCAGCATGGCTGACTCCCATGCATTTGCTGTGGGTTGTGTGATCGCTTTTCTCATGGGGAAACTGTTGGTTTAAATGTCTAAGCCTGGTGTCTTGGGGAAGCGTGAAAATGAGACTTTTACAGGCTCAAACCATCCACCAAGTAAAAATCTCAACCTTCCTTTATAAATACCAGGGCTGTCCAGGGCCTGAGTTGGATGCTGGGGCTTGGGAATGGTGCAAATGAGACCCTCAGAAAAGGCATTTCTAGTCTCAGGTGGCCCTGTGGGCTCTCAGTGCCTCCGGGACAGGGAAGCTGGTCTGCAGACTCCCTAGGTCCTGCTCTGACCCATCTCTCCTCTCTGGCTCCAGGTGGTGGTGGAGCGTTACCAGAAGGAGAAGCAGCTGCCTCTGTTGGATAGGACCAAGTTTCTGGTTTCCCAGGACTCATCCATGTCTCAGTTTGTGATCACCCTGCGGTAAGGAATGAGTGCGTGGGGGGGGGGGGGGGAGGGTTTGCTCTTTCATGTGATCCAGATCTGGGAAAGGGCAAGTCCCCTCTCTTTTCCCTCACACACTCTTTAAAATATAAAGGGCTTGTCCACATTGGAAAAGCTGCATCAGTCTCACTAAATAGGCTTAAGTCTGAACTGGTTGTATCAATGCAAACCTCTAATGCAGAAGCATTTGCACCTCAAACCTGTCTGGCTTAATTTGGGAACCAGGGTGACTGTAGGGTTGTCAACCCTACAGGATTGGCCTGGAGTCTCCCAGAATCAGCATTGATCTCCTGGTGACTACTGAAGGCAATCCGGGAGACTTTAATAGGCTATTTTAAGGAAATGACCTTGTCATGTTGGGGGTGGGGAGAGGGGGAATCTCCCAGAATAGCTTCAGTCAGAGTTGGCAACCCTAGGTGAGTGAGGCTTAAACTCTAAGTGCATCTGCATTCGGGGTTTGCACTGGTGAAACCAGAGCAGCTTTACAATTCCACCAGGGCAACTGGTGTAACAGACCCGGCACCTCTTCCCCTGTCTGGGAGGGGCTGCTGCTCTCTGGGCTGGGAGGCTGGGAATGGCCTTGTTGCTGAGGCCTGCAGTGGCACACTGGCTGCTTGGCTTTTCTGCTGTTTTAGTGGAATGATCTATTTGAAGTTGCAAACAGGCACAGGTGAATAGCTGATTAGAGGCAGGCAATTAGCAGTGATGCAAACAAGCTGTAGCTGCTGCCAACAGCGGTTAGTGATGTCGGAGAGAGGCTCAGAGTGCTAATTAGCAGCATTAGACCTGATCAAAGAAACTCCCTCTAACTAGAGACCAGAAATACCAAACTTGCAAGGCTTAATAAGACAGCCCTCCTGGATCCCAGCCCTGCGTGCTCATCTGAGATGACTAATAACTTTTTTCCAAGCTTGCTTATTACAGATGTCTCAGGGTTGCACTAATCAGTGAGATGGGATGAATAACTAGAATAACAAAAGATGGGGGGGGGGCTAATGGAAAACAGCAGCGCCCCCCCCACACACACACACACACCGGGGCAGCAGCTCGCTGTGCTACTCTGTGTGTTTGGGGCTGGCATTTCCGCTTTCCTGCTCAAAGTGGCACCACTGAGGCAGAATGTTTCCCTGGCCCGCGTGCAGTCCAACATGGCTGTGTGGTGCTGTGATGCTGCAGGGTTCTTGCTGGCTGCCTTCAATGCTGTGCTGCTGTGGCAAACAGCGAACACACAAGCTGCACCCTGGCTTCACCTGCCCAGGTGCTCTGTGCATGGCGTCCTCTCCCCCCCCCCCCCAAATCTGCCCTGTAGCATCCACCAGCCCCTGCGCTCAACTCTTAAACGAGTTACTACGTTAGTGGCTTCCTTGAAGAGACGGTACCCAGCAGTGCATGGACTTAGCCGGCGTTAACAAACGCTCTGCTTTCATCAAAGGACTGAATTGGTTTATAGCAAAAGTAAAACAAGTCCCTTAAACAAAAAGGATGGGGATTAAGTGATGCCAAGGATATGGAATAAAAACAGTGGCACGTGCTGGGTTCCTTTGATCCCCTCCAGTGAAGGAGGCCAAATGGCCTTTCCTCTCTCTTCCCAAAGGTCACTGACCCTGCTTCAAGAGCCAGGAAGCCCTCCTGGGGGCCCACCTTACAGTTCCCGCCAGGGAACTGACACCACACTAACTTCTGAAGTTTCCTCCCCCATGATGCTACTCCGAGGCCATCTGCCCCATTTGCTGGGTTGCTTTTGTTTACCTGGGATAGAAATATACCTTTCTTGTCTCTGTCTGGTGACCAGGCAGGTCCAACAAGCAAATACCCGTTCCATTGCCTAGGCAGACTGGGCTTGGCATATCTTGCCAGAGAGACTTTGAGAGCAATTCTAGCACCTATTTATAACTCTTTATACACACCCTGTACATATGCTGGTTCCAAAAGTCATTGGGTGGGGTGTTAACTGTTAGTATATGATACTGCACCTAACATGCTGGCGTCAGGTCTGACACACATTATAAGAACTGTGGATGCAGACTAGTGAACTACTACTGGGCCTCTGTCATGAGTACCTTGTTAACCACAAACGCTCCAGTTGGATTAACCAACACAAACAGCATGCATGCAAGCCAACCCATGCAGAGGAATGGCAGAGCAGGGGTTATGGGTGCTATCCTGGGACTTGGGAGACCTGGGGTGGGGTGGGTCAACTCCCTGATCTGCCACTGACTTCCCCGGATGACCTTTGGTGCATCACTTAGCCTCTTAGGGCCTCAGCTCCCTGTCTCATGGAGATGACTCTTCCTCCCTCACATGCATTCAGTGTTGAAGCTTGGTGACTGTGGGGAGAGCCAGAGACCTTGCTCAGTGATCGAGAGCCTTTAACTGCTTCATTCACCTGTTCCATCTTGTACTCAGATGCCAAGGTCTCTTGGGCAGGGTCCATCCTGTCTGTACAGCAGCTGGTGACAATCACTGATGACATCAGTAACTCAAGATGCCAAATGCTGCAATTCACGCTCCTTGGAACTGTTGTGAGTCTCATTATCTAACAGTCTCTGAAAATCTCCTTAAACCCCCAGAACTCGCATGTCCCTGACAGCAACCCAGGCCTTCTACCTGCTAGTAAACAAGGGCCTGCCCAGCATGAGCATGACCGTGGGGGAGGTGTACCGCGACCACAAGGATGAGGATGGCTTTCTCTACGTCACCTACGCTTCCCAGGAGATGTTCGGCTGCTGCTTGCATGGCCCTGCGGTGACTCAGTCATGAACCTGCCTGTTGCCAGCTGGTCTCTGTCGTTGGTTTATCTTGTGATGCAAACAACTGCAGGGGCTGAAAACCTCTTTCTTAACCTGAATTTTTAATGAAACTGCTGTGTGGGGATAGAGGAGGAAAGCATGAAAGTCCAGGAGCTACTAGCAGGATTGCTCTCCTGCAACAGCGTTGGGGACTTGAGTCTCTCCGAGCAGATGCCTGTTAGAAGAATAACTTGTGACTAAAGCTATGAAATGTTTTTAATGCCAGAACCACATCCTATTGAGTCTTACTCTGATCCGCTGCAAGGTTATTCTCTTAACAGGCCTATTCCTCTCCCTTTTTAAAGGATTTCACTGCTGGACGTTGTTCTGGTTAGCGGCACCGGGAATTTAAGTTTGGTTTTAGCAAGTCTGCTCCTGTAACAGGGATTGGTGTACCAGGGTTTCACGGCTGGGATTTTTAAGCTTCACATCTATTATCTGTAACGTCTCCTGTTGGTTTTAAGTTTGAGTCCTTGGAATAAAGCAATTGAAATGTGATTTACTCTGATCATTTAATGGGGCTCTTCCCAAAGATGGGGGCAGGGCTGGGTTGATAACCTCGTATCCCATTATGGTCCTACTGTGCTAGGGGCTGTAATCTGGGCAAGTGGTGTCATCAGGCAAAGGGTGAGAGGGGAAACAAGCACTGAGAGGAAGGGACTTGCCCAAGGTCACTGAGCTGTGTGTGACAGAGCTGGGAACAAAGCCCTGGAGCTCCTCCAAGCCCTAGGCCTGGGGTCTACGTGCTGCCTGCCCACAATGTAACTGTCAGCTCTGTGGGCAGCATGTGCTAGGTTCTCTGTGCAAGGGGGCATAAAACGTTACCGGATAAGAGCAGCATCCAATGCCCGCTCTGCACGAGCCTCTTGACTGCATGAGGGGCAGGATGATGGAGAACTCTCATGGGGGACGGCTAGCTCAGTGGCTTGAGCATTGGCCTGCTAAACCCAGAGTTATGAGTTCAATCCTTGAGGGGGCCATTTAGGGATCTGGGGCAAAAATCTGTCTGGGGATTGGCCCTGCTTTGAGCAGGGGGTGGGACTAGATGACCTCCTGAGGTCTCTTCCAACCCTGATATTCTAACTAAGCCCCCTACCCTCCAGTGTGCTGCATGCCCAGCTGTTAACTGGCAGTGCCCTGGAGGCTGCATGAGAAGAGACACGGCTGGTGCCCATCTTTGCAGAGGGATGGGGAGCAGGGGGAGTTAGTGCCTAGCATAAGAAGGGGAGACAGGGAGCTGGAGTATTTTTCCCTGAACCTCTACTGGAAGAGAAACTCACCAGAGCTAAGGTGGAAGATGAGACCAGCCCATGGCCTGCCTCTGCCAGGCTACGAGTGCGTGTAACTAAACTTGCAGCACAGACTGGCCACACTAAATTTTAGCGTTGTTGTGAGTCGGATGTAAATGTTTCCTGAGCTGACGGTGATACTGTGACATGCCTCTTAAATATTTAAGGTTTCCATTGCAATAAAGCCCTTTGGATAAATATTCCATGTACTTCAATGTTAAAAACATTCATAAATCTTACTCTAGCCAATTAGCCTGTAGTGTAAGCTGTTAAAGCAGGAGCGGGGAGGGTCTAACTCCAGTGTGAAATGCAGGGAAAAGTGAAGGGTGGTTTTCCTGCTCAAGGAGAGAAGTTCGTGGCCGAGGAGGCGGAGTGTTTCTCGGCACAGTCAGTCACTGAGATCGTGGCAGGAGGGGAAAAAATAGCAGTGCAGAAGGAGGTGTCACAGCAGTTCTGTGTCCCCTGGGCTGCAGAAGCTTTATTGCTACCATGAGCCTCCGAACAGGCTCTCTGGGGTTAGAGGGCTCCTGACTCTAGCAGGCAAAGGCGTGACAAGACCAAGAGCTGGGAGCTGAAGCTGGGAAGGAGGCACTGACTTTGAGCAGTAAGGACTAAGGCAGCTTCCCCAGAGAGGATGTGGGTCCTCGCTCACTTGCAGTCTTCTCATGGAAACGGGATCTCTTTTCGTGTCCAGCTGCAAGGGCCTGGGCTCCACGCAGAAGTCAAGGTGTGGGATTCTCTGACCTGTGCTAATGCAGGAGGTCAGACCGTCGCACAGGTGCTGCTGGTCTTTATAAAATCCTACCGTCTCAGGAGCTGCAGAGACCACAGTCCAGACGTCTCAGTGATGGCAGCTCTAGAAATAGGAGAGGGAGCTGCAGGAGACAGGAAGAGACCTATTGTGTTGACTAGCTCTATTCTGCTTTCAAGGCTGGAGAATATTCTGCCAGTGACAGGTGTGGGAGGGTCCCAAAGCACCTGGCACCTCTGGGTCCAGTCCCAGTTTGCAGAAATGTTCCGTGTGGAGTAGATCCTCTCGCCTTCTAATAAAAGACAGAATTGCACAGCCTGGTCCAAATTCCCTTAGCCCGCAGAACCCCGCACCTGGCTAGAGCCACCGTGGGGCAAAATAGTTCAGCTAAAGTTCGTTTTTGGCCACAAAATGCAGATTCAGGTCGACCAAGACATTTTGCAAATTTGTGTTGCATCTGCTGAATTGTCTTTGTTAAAAAAAAAACACAACAACAACAAACCAAAAAAATCTGTTTCATTTTGACATTTTCTAAGGAAACATTTGGATTTTTTTATCTCAAATGATTAATTGTCATCCTGACAATGACTAATTTTAATTCAATTTTATTTTAAAAAGAGTTAAAAAATTCAAAAATGAAAAAAACCCACTTCCGTCGCCCCCAAACGAGTGTCCATGTCGCGGTTGGGTGAGTGACCCAGAATAGTAGTTAGTTGCTCATCTCTAGTTATTGCTGAATACGAGGAGCTCCTTGCAGCTTGGCTGGTAAATCACCATGCAGGTCACGAGTGGGATGGGTTGGATCACAGAAACCCGCCTGGGGCTGCCAACCGATGTGCCAAGACTACTTCTGCCCCTGCTTTCCCTGCCCGCCTGGGACTCCAGCACCCTGTCTTGCTGAGCCAGATGCGTCCGTCTGCTCGAACACAGACCCAGGGTCTGAACCATGTGCCCCCAAGCTGCAGACTTAACCTGAAAGCAGCTTACAGAAGTGTTCCTGACTTTAACACTCAGATGCTGAACTCCCAATGGGGTCTAAACCCCAAATAAATCCGTTTTACCCTGAATAAAGCTTATACAGGGTAAACTCATAAATTGTTCGCCCTCTATAACACTGATAGAGAGATATGCACGGCTGTTTGCCTCCCCAGGTATTAATACATACTCTGGGTTAATTAATAAGTAAAAAGTGATTTTATTAAATACAGAAAGTAGGATTTAAGTGGTTCCAAGTAATAGCAGACAGAACAAAGTGAATTACCAAGTAAAATAAAATAAAACACGCAAGTCTGAGTCTAATACAGTAAGAAAACTTAGTACAGATAAAAACCTCACCCTTAGAAGAATTCCAGTAAGCTTCCTTTTACAGACTAGTCTCCTTCTAGTCTGGGTCCAGCAATCACTCACACCCCCTCTAGTTACTGTCCTTTGTTCCAGTTTCTTTCAGGTATCCTTGGGGGTGGAGAGGCTATCTCTTTAGCCAGCTAAAGACAAAATGGAGGGGTCTCCCACGGGCTTAAATAGACTTTCTCTTGTGGGTGGAGACCCCCTCCTGTCTCCTATGCAAAGTCCAGCTCCAAGATGGAATTTTGGAGTCACCTGGGCAAGTCACATGTCCATGCGTGACTCAGTTTTTACAGGCAGCAGCCATGGCTCACGTGCTACTTTGAACATCCTCATGTAGACGTCTTATGTGGATTGGAGCCTTCCAAGATCCATTGTCCCTTAAGTGTTTCTGGATTGGGCACTTAACTTGCACATTCCTTTCTCAAGAAGCTGACCAAATGCTACTTAGACATGATACATGCATACAGACAGGATGAATAGATTCAGTCGATCATGACCTTTACAGAGATAGGTTACGTGGCATACGTAGCATACAACACATTCTAGTTATGTCATATATACATTCATAAGCATATTCCCATGACGCCTTATGGGGGGCACCGTGACAACGAGCCCATTCAGTAAACTGGGGGCAGATGTTACATTTCTAATGATGGATCCTGCAGGATTTAATTTCTCGGGGCAGAAAGGGGGGTTGTGTGAGAAATGTTTGCAGAGTGGCGGAGCCTGGGAGCCCCATTATCTGTGCTCTCTGCGGCGTGGCCACGGATTGTGCCTCTTTATGGTGGTCAGATATTTCCACTGCACCCCCAGGTGCCCCTTCCCCTGGGCTCCGTTGCCCCGGCCTTTGCGGCCCATCACGTTGACAATGCTCTGCAATTGCTGGTGCCGCCCTGGCAGGCGCCCAGAGCCAGCACTTGCTCAGGCACCTCCTTGCGCTGGGTTTTCATAAACGTACATTTAACCTGTCGGCCGCCGGCAGCTGACCCCCTTCCTCTGAAGCCTCACTGAATAAGGAAGAAGCTGTCATGAGTGGGAGTGTATGTACCCACAGCTGCCAGCCACATCTTGCCTCCTCTCGCTCCTGTGACGCAGGGAAGTTTTGTTACCCACATTTTACCGATGGGGGAATTTCACCGTCTGTATCACACACTGTCGGTCCCGGGGGGGCTCGGATACACTCAGTGAAGCCGCGGCAGGTGCAGAAGTCTAACCGGTTTTATTGCCAAAGTATAATAAGCCTCCCAGCCGTCACGCGTTACTAAATACGCGCTTTCCAGCAACTAAGAATCAATGCTTACGCCCCTTCTGCTACAGACAGTCCCGGACCCTCCTGCTTTGTCCTCGAGGGCTCATAGCAGGCGCTGCTCCAGCGTGGGGAATTCCTGGGCAGCCACAAGGCCGCAGGTGAGACTGTTAATCTAAAGCAATTCTCAGAGCTGCTTTTAATCATCACCTCCTTCTAAGGGGGGGCGTATTCACCCACAAGCAGGCTCCGGCAGGAGACACAGCTGCTCTCTATTCCCACACTTCACAGTCTCAGGCCCTCCTTATCTCTTCACTTGTTTATCCAGCCAAGTGGCTGCCAGCCAGGTCGGCTGGTCAAAGCCAGTTCACGACTAGCTCCCCCCAAACCATTCTGTAACATCAGCCCAAGGTCACTTGCGGTCAGCCCCAACACACCCGACACTTAGCTATAAACCCTTTCTGTTCTGTGCCGTGCCTAGCGCAATGGGGCCCTGGTCCACGGCATGGGCGGCTAGCTGAGATCAGGGCCCTACTGTTCTAGGGGCTACCCAGACACAGTCCCTGCCCCCACAGACCCTCCAAGCT